AACCCTAAACCCTTAAAGCCCTAAACGGCCCCTAAACGGAGGTGAAGTTGTTGGCCCTCTTCGCCGGAGCTTTGAACGCCCTCAGCGGCCTCCAGCCGAGCCTCCTCGGCTCGCCGGGGCCTCGGTGCGGCGCCAACTTCCCTTTGGGGTTGAGGGTTTAGGGTTTAGGGTTTAGGGTTTAGGGTTTAGGGTTTAGGGTTTAGGGTTTAGGGTTTAGACGTCCCCACAGCACAAAAGCCTCAAAGCCCCAAAGTTTGGCCCCAAAGCCCTTTTTTAAGTTCGAAAGCCAGAAAACTCGAGAACCCCAAAAGCCGAAGATCGCAAAGAGTTTGTTCCGGCTTCAGGCGCAGCGACGTGCTGAAGGTTTTGGGCTTTGGGAGCAGAGGTGACGTGAAGACCGGCGGCTTCCTGATTCTTGCCTTCCAGGAGCACTTTGCTTTTACAGCCTTCAGGGGACAAGAAATCTTGTAGCTTTTCCACCTTTAACGCAAACCTCCGCCCAGGAATGCCGCCGCCTTCTACTTGGCCTCTCGGCTCCGAACCCGACGAGTCCTCTCAGACTTTGCGTCGCTACCTTCGGGTGCTCAGGTGCTGGCGTATCAGACGGCAAGGGCCGTGTGGCCGGAGCTGGCCATCGCGGACCCTCTTGTCGGAGGGCTCACGCTGCTGCTCGTGGCCCATCAGGTGGGGATGGAGGGCGCATGAGCGCGCAAGCAGAGAACAAGTAGCTCTCATGCTTCGGGAGGCCTTCATCCTGAATTGCTGGGTGCAAAGCGGCCACATGCACCGAGTGGATGCTTTCCTGGTTCCTGGCATCTTCAATCTTCCGGCCCCTTGTCTTCCAAGCTGCAGGCTGCTCCGTGTAGCTTCCTCAGGAGACGCGCTCTGAGCCTCTCTTCTTATTCTTGCATCCTAAACCCTAAACCCTAAACATGGTCTGGCTCCGGCACTGACGCTTGCAGTGTAAGGTGTCTTTGCATCTCCTGGCTGGCAGCCAGGTGCGCCGTGACGCAGTTGGTACTAGCTTAGTTCACGGTCTCCGTTCAAGAGATGCTCACCATGCTCGTAGTCATCACAGCAGTCGTAACAACAAGAAGCGCTAACAGCCATGATGCTGATAATTCCATGAGCGATAAGCAGTCATTGCAATGGGGGTGCTAGTAATGCAGATCCAGAGCTCTTGGTAATGGCAGCAGTAGAAGACTAACTGGCAAAAGTCATGACGATTACGCTGCTGCAATGAAATGGAGAATCATCATCGCAACAAAGCCCGCAACCCCTAAGCCCTAAACCCTAAACCCTAAACCCTAAACAGGCGTGGTGGGAGGAGCTGTGCAGTCGATTTGATGCCTGGCCGGAGCTGGGAGCTCAGCCAGCGAAGGATCCGCGAAGATCCCATGTGGGTGGTTGTCAAAATTAGGGTTTAGGGCTTACGGTTTAGGGTTTAGGGTTTATGAATGGTTGTCAAAATTAGGGTCCCTTTTTGGGGTACCCTAAATAGTAATAGGTGCCGTATTATAAGAAGGACCCAAAAAGGGACCATAATTTTGACAACCACCCGTGTATCAGCTGACAAGAGGGTTATGTGGTTTGGCGGTTGAGGTGCTTGGGGCCTTGGGCAAGAGTCAGAAGGTCTGTGCTGCTGTGAGTTTCTCACATGCCCATGTCTGTGCACAGCGTGTGTGAACTCGAGTTCTGATATGTCGAGAACCACATTGATGCCGAGTGCTGGCATGTTGGCTAAGGTTCTTCTTTTCCGGCAACTTTGCCGTCGCATGGGCTTGCTCTTTGGCAGAATGGCCAGAGAATGAAATCGAGAGGGCGGTGCCAAGACCGCTGAGCCAAACAAAAGTGCATGTGCTGGGATGCGGACGCCGTGTGCCGAAGTTCAGCCTACTGCCAATACAAAGACCGGCATTTCTTGTGCACCTGTGTCAGGGGTAGGATAGGGCGTCAAGGATGGGCAGACTGAAAGAAGCAGGACCCCAAGCAATAGACCGAAGCAGCTCAGGCGCTATGGTGACTCTGGTGCTGTCTCTGTACGAAAGGAGCCAGCAGCTGCACATGTGCCCGGCGGAGTGCTTGAAAGCAAACCCGATGGAATGAGCACATCCGAGTCGTTTCGCAGCCGCAAGCACCATAAAGGGACTGTCAGCCACATGTAGATTTCGACCTCAAGGCCGCTGCAGCTAGCTGCAGCTAGCTTGCACTAGCTTGCAGGTTGCAGTCTGCTGCAGTTTGCCAGGAGAGTCATCAGCTTGGAGCTCCGCGGTCTGTTGATGCTCACCTTCCCAGCGGTGGTCTTCCTCACGGCGCGCGGCCTTGGTTTGCTCGGAGCCGCGTCACGACACGTCGGTTCTGCTGGCGTGTACGAACAAGACGAGGCGTAACCATGCCAAAGCGACTTAGGGTCGTCATGTGTGGCTCACGCTGGTAAGCCGGACAGCCTCGCTACATGTAGTCTTCTTTTGGAAACTAGCTAACATTCAAACTTGATATTCCGAATGGGGGAGCCGACCCGAGGTCTTTCTCCGTGCCCTGGCATTGTTGCCCCAAGGGCTGGACGAGAACCTCTGGCTTCTGCTGACACTGAACCCCTAAGTCCTAAACTGGACCAACGACATACAGAAAGAGTCGGTGAACTTGTTAAAACCTTGGGTCATGTCATAAGGGTAGTTCGACAGGGACGCAGACCAAGCATGGACCCTTGCTGACTCCAACAGTGCTCACCAAAGCTTAAATCCCGAAGCCGTAAGAAATTGTGCCGACGCATGCCTCTACAGGTCAACAAGTAAACCCTAAACCCTAAACCCTAAACCCTAAACCCTAAACCCTAAACCCAAAATCTGATGTGCAAACTCGGTTTCAGAAACATCATGAAGTAGATCGCGCCTTTCCACGGCCAGAGCTGGGTCGGAGCAGACCCTTGCCTTTGGCCGCCGAAAGTTTTTGTTTCGGCGCCCACTGGGTGCCCCGGAAAAGGCTCCAAGGAGTTAGGGTTTAAGGATGGAGGGTTTTAGGCTTTTGGGGGTCAGCGTTTTTGGGTTTAGGGCTTTGGGGAATAGGCTTGTCATGCAAGCCCGTTGCCCATTGATGAAGCCCGGCCCTGTACTACCTGACAAACCATGTTCAAGATCTCGCTGGGATCTCAGGAGCATCCCTTGCACTAGCTTTCTGAGTCATGAGAACAACGGAAGATAGCGTCACCTCGGGCTTATCTGGGTTCTTGTTAAGGGATTTAATTTAAGTTACCAAAATAAGGAAACCATATTATTTACTATAGATCCCTATATGGTTACTTAAATTAAATCCCTTAACAAGAACCCAGTCACCTGGAGCAATTGGACGTTGAGCTCGATCCAAAAGGCATCGGATGCATTCACGGTCTTCACTCCCTTCTCCTCCTCCGCCCCCTGGGCCTCCTTGTCCGGGGCTGCCTCGCTGAGAACACCGAAGCGGCCCTCGTACTCCGAGTCGTCGCCCACGCAGACCCACTCGAAGCCCGCGGTCTCCGGGGCGCTGGTGTCCCCAAGGGCGGAGAGCTGCTGATGGCAGCTCCGCAGCACGGAGTTGAAGCCCTGCAAGGCATTCAGGCGCCGTTGCTCCACGAGCCAACGCACGATGTAGCGCCGGTGCAGCTGCAGGGTCTCGAAGAGCTCCGTCTCCGGAACCTCCAAACGCTCCTGGTTGAAGGTGTGATGGGAGGACAGGTAGGTCAAGGAGGAGAGCAGCCTCTTCACGCGCTCCGCATCGAAGTCCTGGGTTCTTGCTAAGGGATTTAAGTTAAGTTACCATAATAGGGAAACCATATTATTTACTATAGATCCCTATTATGGTAACTTAAATTAAATCCCTTAACAAGAACCCAGAGTCGCTCTGCGGAACGTTCCGGAGTACCAGAACCTGGTGGGCGTGGAGCCGACAGGCGAGCTGGTTGCACTCATCCTCACGGCTGGGCTCCTGCTGCGCCGACTCCGCCAGCTCTTCCAACCACCTGGGGGGTTTCCGAAAATAGAGGGTACCTTATTTTAAGGTCCTTATAATAAGGATCCTACTATTTAGGGTGCTATATTTGGGTCCCCTATTTTCGGAAATCCCCACCTATCAAACCATGGCAGGACTTCGCCCTCGAAGGTGCTCCGCAGCAAGCTCCGGCCACGCCTCAGGTCTTCCAAAACGCTGGGCGTGGTGGTGAGCCTGGGCCAGGCGCGTGCCACCTTGCCCTCGGCGTGGTCCATCAAAAGCGCCGCTGCGGACTCGACACGCACCGCCAGGCGCACGGAGAAGAGGATCGCCGGAACCGTCTCCGAGGTCACGGAGGTCGCGAGGCTTAAGGTGAGGGCCATCAGCTTGCCCACGGCGGTCAGGATCACCGTCGGCCCATGAGCCAGCTCCGTGAGAATCTGACTGAAAGGAGAGGCCACCAGGTGCTCCTCCTCGGCCGTGGCGGGCACGAACTCCGGGATGTTCTTCATGTCCTCGGGGAAGAGCAGCCTCCCAGGCTCCAGCATCGAGGCCTGGAGGATCCTTTGCAGCGTGCCCTGGCGAAGGCAGTTGCTACGGTCCTGCGTCGTAAAGAAGCTCAGCAGCAGCGGCTGCCGCAGGTAGGGCACCTGAGAGGGGAAGGTTTCAGATTTCAGCTGAAGCCGTAGATGTGAAGGCCAAGATCCGAGGACGCACCAAAAGTCACAAGCCAGCCATAATAACCACCACAACCCTCAGTACCCCTCATGGTAACCCTTGTACTCGCAACAACCCTCTCTGTAGCCCCGATACGAACCCTTATGTCTTCGGAGTCCTACCCTAAACCCTAAACCCTAAACCACAAACCCTATAACCCTATTATGTCTTCGGAGTCTCACCCTAAACCCCCAACCCTATAACCCTAAACCCTAAACCCTAAACTCACCGAGCCGCCGTCAAGTAGGACAGCAGGCCCTCACTGTCCGAGGGCCGCAGCATCGGGCGCCCTGTCTTCTCATCGGGGAAGTTGGGCAAAGACCTGCCGTGGCTCAGGCGGTATAGGGTTTAGGGTTTAGGGTTTAGGGCTGAGGGTTTAGGGGTTTAGGGTTTGGGGTTTAGGGTTTAGGGTTTAGCATTTGGGTCCGGGGCGGCTCGTGGAGCTCAGGGACTCTGAAAGCACGTGTCGTCTTGCTGCCGTCATCGCCCGTAGCCGCTAGTAATAATAGTAATAGTATCATCATGATGATACATATCATCATGTGATCCCTACCCACTACTGCATGACCAGTGTCATGAGCGGTTGAGTGCCTCAATTGTTGCGGTTGTCCTGCTCAGATCACGACTACCATGTCTGAGGTGAGCAGCCCGAGTGGTCTTATCCTTACCCTAAACCCTAAACCCTAAACCCTAAACCCTAAACCCTAAACCTTGTGTTGCATAGATTCGTTCTGCTGCTCTCCCTCTCCTACGTCAAACCCCTCGCCCTCAACCCTGAAGCCCAACAGTCCCAGAGCCAGAAGCCCCAAAGCCCCCAAAAAAGTCAACACCACACCCCTCCACGATGGCCCCTAAAACTCTAGGGCTTAGGGTTTAGGGAGTTTAGGGTTTAGGGTTTAGGGCTTAGGGTTTAGGATCTTAACCCTGCACCCTAGACCCCCGGCCTTTGGTAAAGAAGATCGTCCTCTGTACCTCGGATGGACTGAGATTTACGGAGCGGTGACGCGTCTACTGTAGGGGCCTAAATAATTACCTATACTACTTCGGGGTTCCTTATTATAATTATAGTACATGCTATACCCCAAACCCTATTCTAATTATTAAGGCCCCTATATTACCTAAACGATCAGTGGACTTGGTAAGTGCGGTTTTACGTAACTTGTGATTACCTGAAAGCCCAATAAGGTTCCCAACCCTACTGGCTAAGTCCTTTGCTCCTGAAAGCAGGATATGAAAGCTTTGGGTTTAGGGTTTAGGGTTTAGGTTTAGGGCAAAGGATTAGGGCTTAGGGTTTCGGGCTTAGGGTTTAGGATGCCGCTTTAGGGCTTCAGGCTGTAGAGTGTTGGACTTGAGGAACTTCTCAAAGGGAGAAGTCGTCAACTTCGGGGGGCTGGAGATTTGAGCGCTGGCTTTCTGGATGTTCAAGGGCTTCGTGCCTGTATTCCGGGTTTCGGGCTGAAGATCAGACGTTTCCGCAAGCCTGAACCACCGAAAGCGCTTGGTTTTAAGTGTTTTGAAACATTACCACAAAGACGTCTCAAGCAATTCAACTGCCTGCAAACACCACGCACCCCAAAACCACTGTCAAACCCTCCACCCTACACCTCAAACTCCAAACCCTAAACTCTAAACCCTAAGATCTAAACCCTAAGATCTAAACCCTAAACCCTAAACTCAGGGGCCCTCTTGGCAAAACCTCACGGCGAGAAGCGGACTTCTCCTTTGGTGTGCCTCGGCGGAGTCCCCGGTAATTTGGGGTTTCAGGGTTGAGAAGGTGTTTAGGGTTTAGGGGTTTAGGGTTTAGGGCTTTGGGTTTAGGGTTTAGGATTTGGGGATTTAAGTTTCGGGTTTAGGGTTTAGAGTTTAGGGTTTGGGGTTTAGTGTTTAGGGTTTAGGGTTCCCGGTGCTTTGGTTTGTTGGATCTTTTGGGGCTTCAGGGATCCAAGGTTCAGGGTTTAGGGTTTAGGAATTAAGGTTCAGGGCAGTTTTCTTTTTTTCAATTGCAGTGGCCTTTTCTGTGCGAGCAAGCCTGTCTCATATGAGGCCTACACGTCCAGCCCCCCTTGCGGGGTAAGCAGGGTTTAGGGTTTAGGAATTAAGGTTTAGGGTTTAGAATTTAAAATCTAGGGTCTAGGAATTTTCGAGGTTTGAAGGGTTTATGAATTAAATCTCTAGGGTTAAGGGTTTAGGGCTTAGGAATGTTAGGTTTATAATGCGGTTTAGGAATTTAAGGTGTAGGGTTTAGGGTTTTGGGTTTAGGCTTTAGGCTTTAGGGTTTTTTTACGGCTGCCATGCGCATCCAAGACTCTGAGAGAAACGCTTAAATAATTCGGGTTGGCGCGTGGGCGCAGTCTCCAGA